TGTGGAGTGTGAACCGTGTCCATAAGTGCCAGGTGAAGACATGGTATCTGTCAGGGCATGTTAAGTATTGGACGGTGCCTAAACAAACCGGCGGTTGTCGCGCAGCCATTTAGAGCTAATGTTTTTTTATTAGCGCGTCGTTTCCCTAGAATTCCCAGAGAACCGCTGGGGATTTTCGGCTGTAACAAGCATGTGCCTCAGCAAACTAGTGGGTAGTGAGCAGTTCGGCGTGGCATGACGCACTTAGTGTGGTTAGTTGTTCCTAATGCTGAACTGCTGACAACGCCTGCCACTCGATATTGTGACAGCCCGTGACCTTGCGTATCCCAGCTGCTGCGGGCACTGGGCTGTATGTCGTATTATGGATGTGTAAGTCAGCTTTTGTGCGTGCCTTCTCCCATTTCAGGTCAGCTGGAAGCTGCTGTATTCAGGGCTTTGGATGCAGCAATACATTCCATTCGGTGTCTAGTTCAGCTTTTCTGAACGCTGTTTGCTCCATTCATCCGCTGTGTTTTTCACTCGCTGTAAATGTTGTTTTAGTATTCCATCTACTGTACATGTTTAGCCGTAGTGAATATCAGCCAAATGTAGTGCAGATTTCAACTGTTGTGTAGCTCACATGTGGACGTTTGCTGTATATCTCAGTCGCTTTATTTATTACTGTGCACCCCGGCTGTTGCTCGTGATGCCGTGCATTCAGCGCCGTCATACTTACTCGTACTTGGCTGATCGGTTACTCGTGCATGTTTCAGCTACCTTAGGCACAGCAGGTAGCCATTTGCTGTATTCTTCAGCTGCTGTGGGTGCTTTTTTGTATTTAAGCTTTCGCGTATCCTAGCTGTTGTCGATACTGCTGTATTCCAGCTTCTCTGTGCGCCATTGCTGTGCCAGACGCTATTGCCGCGTTTTCCACTGTGAGTTGTTCAGTGCAGTGCATTAGCGAAGAATATTATTCACATTGAGGGACAGTAGTATTAGCCTTATTCCTCAGAGAAAAAAAAAAACGGAGAATGGAGATATACTTGGGTTGATATTTCGGCAGCATGCCCTTATCGAAACAATTGCAGAAGTAATTCACTTTTACTATTGTTTGCATTGTTGCACAATCGAGCAATCGAACCAGGCTAATACTACCGTCTTATCTGCGTTTTCCACTGCTTGAGTGTTGCTGTATGCCTCAGCGACTGTATTTCTCAGTATCTGTAAATGCTTCGGAGTATTTCTGCCTTTGCGGGAGCTGCTGTGCACTCGAGCTGCTGTAGACGCTGCTGTGTGTGTTACAACCCTTTTCTGTGTCACATGCTGTGATGGACGCTGCTGCGCATATCTGCTGTTGTAGTCGCTGCTGTGTGTGTGTAACCGCCGCCGTGAACGCTGCTGTGTGTTTTACAGCTGCTGTGGACGCTACTGTGCGTGCATGCGTGCATGCGTGCATGCGTGTGTGTGGTGTGTGTGTGTGGTGTGTGTGTGTGTGTGTGTGTGTGTGGTGTGTGTGCGTGCGTGCGTGCGTGGTGCGTGCGTGCGTGTGTGCGTGCGTGCGTGCGTGCGTGCGTGCGTCGTGCGTGCGGCGTGAGTGCGTGCGTGCGTGCGTGCGTGTGTGTGTGTGTGTGGTGTGTGTGTGTGTGGGTGTGTGTGTGTGTGTGTGTGGTGTGTGTGTGTTACAGCTGTTGTGAACGCTGCTGTGCGGTGTGTTATAGCTGCTGTGGACGTTGATGTGGTGCTTCAGCTGCTGTGAACGTTTCTGTGTGTTTTACAGCTGCTGTGAACGCCGTGTGTGTGTATTAGCTGGTGAACGCTGCTGTGTGTGTGTTACAGCTGCTGTGAACGCTGCTGTGTGTTTTACAGCTGCTGTGAACGCCGCTGTGTGCGTATTACAGCTGCTGTGAACGCTGCTGTGCGTGTGTTACAGCTGCTGTGGATGCTGCTGTCGGCCACGATCCTGGGCCTGCTGACCCAGCGTCTGGCCGCCCGGCTGGGCGTCGTCAGCGGCATGCACCTGGCCGAGGTGTGCTACCGCCAGTACCACCCGGTGCCGCGCATCTGCTCTGGATCATGGTGGAGATCGCCATCGTCGGCTCCGACATGCAGGAGGTGATCGGCACATCCATCGCGCTCTACCTGCTCTCCGACAAAAAGTAAGCTAACCTCGGCTGGCCGCGCGAGCCCGTCGCCGGCGGCGCGGGCCGTCGCCCGATTTACGCGCCGCGCCAGCTGTGTCGGGGCGATTGTGGAGGGGGGGGGGGGGGGGGGGAGGAGCGGTGCGGCGAGCTTAAGTCACCGGCGATTCTCCGTCGGTTAGAAGCTGTTGGGTGCGGCAGGCGGATTTGCGTTATTGTTCTCGTCACCTGCTTCCTGTCGGTTGAGCTAATCGCGTCGGCATGTTGGTTTACTCTTTGCCCGCTATCGTGTATGACTAAGCAGAGCCCAGCTTGATATTTATCAGTGTTGGCACATTCCCGTTTATATCCCCGACCAAGATTTCTACGTATACGAATAACTGCGCAGCATGACTTGAATAGCGTATTGCTTCTCGTGGATTGCAAAACGCATCCGTACGAATGGCGCTGATGTCAGCCGTGTAACCTGTCTGTCTTCCGCGTTTCAGAATTCCATTGTGGGGTGGAGTGTTGATAACAATCGCTGACACGTTTACATTTCTGCTGGTCGACAAGTACGGCATGAGAAAGCTCGAAGCCTTCTTCGGCTTCCTGATCACCGTGATGGCCCTCATGTTCGGCTACGAGGTAATTGGTGCCGTCAGCCTCCGGCCGTTGTTTGTCGGCCCTCGGGCGGTGGCGGGCGGCCCTGGGGAGTGAGGGCGCTGAAGGCAGTGGCGCCTGCCGCAGAACTCCTGCTGTGGCTGCTCCCGAGACCGCTGGATTGCTGTCTCCCTGGTCCCCGGAGGATGCACTGCGTGCCGGACTGTGGTGTGTGTGGGAGGAGGGAGGGGTGGGGGGAAACACTCACGGTCGAGGGGGCAGCAATGCAACTTTTAGTGTTCCTTTAAGCGTGCATACAAGAAATCTACAAGATAGTAGTAGATACAAAAAATGCTTGAGCATTTTCCCGAGACCCTTCCCATGCGTACATCGGTGACCGACTGTTCATATACACACCTGCGTATTGAGGCCTAGACGGCCGTTGAAGGTTACCTCGAAACAGGTGGCTAGGTGCCGAGCTGGAAGGGTTTGAATGGCCCAGGTGGCTGATTTCGTTGATGGTGTGTTTAATGCGCATTCGTGCGTTGACATCGACGCCGCGAGAAACCGTCTTAAGAATGACCACCCGCAGGCCACGAAATTGTTGCGCCTATTTCACTGCCATGCACGAGATGATGTGCCGCGTTGTTAAGGGATGCTCAGCCGAGGGTTTGGATGCTAACAAATGCACTAAACCCGCACGCTGCTTGCGTAATACCTCATGCTGTGCGTTCACACACAGACGCCGATCAAGCGGTATTGCCGGTAGCTTATGTTTGTGAAATCGATCGCCTTGCTGGTAATGCTTCTGTGGATGTCGTTAACTGTGACACAAGCAGCCATGCGTCTTATATCCATCACAATAAGTGGTTGATAGCACTCTCTCGTTTGCGTTGTGCTCACTGACAGCCAGATGTGACACTTTTTGCCGCCTATCATGAGAGGAAAGTTATTATGGCTATTGTCAGTTCATCAGATGCCCCTAAGTTTTTTACTGTGAACAAGTGGCAACGGCGTATCGACTGCTTCGCCTTTCATCATGTACCGTGAGGTGAAATGTGGCCTCCTTGTCCCTGTTTTTTTCTGTTTTTCCTCCGATACGAGGTATGCATTCATGTCTTTTGTGTAGATTGTATAATCTGGTCCAAGTTGTTGCTGTAGATTATACTTGAGAGGATTCCTAGGTCATTCCTAGGTCAGATAAGCAAGGCCGCGCGTGCTCCACACATGTACTTCCCCGAGATCCCTGTTCCTTTTTAACCGACGCGAACTCGGCCACCGCACGTACCGCATGTGTTTTTCCACAGTGTAATACCGTTCTGCCTGTTATGCCGGTCGGTTATACCGGTTGTAATACCGGTCTGCCTGTTGTACCGGTCGGTTATACCGGTTGTAATACCGGTCTGCCTGCTATACCGGTCGATTATACCGGTTGTAATACCGGTCTGCCTGTTTTACCGGTCGGTTATACCGGTTGTAATACTGGTCTGCCTGTTATACCGGTCGGTTATACCGGTTGTAATACCGGTCTGCCTGTTAATACTGGTCTGCCAGCGCCCCGTCACGGGCCTGACCCGGCGTCTCCGTCAGGGGTCCTGGTCCCCGCATTGCTTTGTTCCGCATTGTGAAATTATAACATCTAAAAAACAGGCCAGAAACACTGAAAGCACACAGCTTTATGTTTTTGTTTGTTGTGTGCCTCTGTCGTAACTGATTTTACGAGGCTTTAGTGCCGGACGCTTGGCACGCGTCCGCCTGCTCTGACACGTGCGGCGCGTGCCGCCTGCTCCATTACAGGGATGGGCTTACCAAGACGCTTTTTTAGTTAAAGGTGTACAACGTTCGGCCGCACTCTCTTGATTCATAGGATGCTCCATCTCTTGTTGCAAGGGTTCTGCTGTTACGTGACACAAATTCTACAAGGCTTTCGCATTAGCATGGGCCCTATGAGAGGCAAGTGTGCGGTGCTCTTAGGTACTCTCAACGGCGTTTGCTTTTACGGTTCCCTTTCCCTCTCCCTGCTGCTCTATATTGGTGTTCTGACTTAGACCGAAATCAAAGCGGGAAGTGGCGATGTGCCGGTCGCTAGGAATATATATGGCCACGAAATGACACTTTCTGGCGTCAATATGCTCTACCCTTCTTAGGGAACGTATTATAATATTTTTTTAGAAGGCCCACCTCTTAAGCTGGCATGGCTGCCTGATCTGATGCACGTGACTAGATCTAATTCGTGTAACTTGCGTGCTCGTCTGTGTTTTCCTCTGCGTACGGTGCGCGTCTGTCTGTGGCAGTTTGAGTGCACTGGTCTGTCATTCTGCCCTCAAACGTGTGACGAGTATCCATCAGTTCCAGTACCTTTGAAACGAGCATGTTTGCTGCGATGTTTTGTGAAGCGCACCCATTGTCTCCAGTACTTGTGATGCGTCTCCTTCTCGCTCACTATGTATTACAAAACATGTCTGTCTGCTCTAGCACACGCTTCACGCTCGCCTGGTTCAGTGCGCGTGACAACGCGTGCCTGCCTGACAACACGTGCCTGTCCGTTACAGTACGTGGTGGCGGCGCCGCCTCAGGCCGACGTGGTGCGCGGCCTGTTCGTGCCGGGCTGCGCGGGCTGCGACAGCCGCTCGCTGCTGCAGGCCGTCGGCATCATCGGCGCCGTCATCATGCCGCACAACCTGTACCTCCACTCGGCGCTAGTCAAGGTAACTCTGTCAGGACCTGCACATCGAACACTTACATAACTGTACCTCCATCGGCACTAGTCAGGGTAACTCTGTCAGGACCTGCGCTGCGAACACTTACATAACCTGTACGGCCTCTCGATAGCTCTGTCAGGGAGACTGCCAGGACCTGTCGCCTGAAAGACCCGGCTCCAATCCGGGCAGCCACGTCTTCCGCCGTGTCGCGGGCAGACGTCTTCGAGTCGTTTGCTGCCGCTTGTCCACACCGTGGGTGGGCTCACGTGCGTCACAAAGGCGTGACGCTGCGGGTCGCGGGCATCACATTGTGCTTAACTTTACACCACGGTCTTCCCGGCCGCTCGAGCCCCTGGGCTTGGCTATCGGTACAGACCACAGGTCAAGTGCTGGCTGGCGCGTGCTTGCCGGGAGTGGCTTCTTCGTAGCGATATGTTGGGCCATAAAGCCTCAAAAGGCGCCAAATCATACCTTTTGCACAATCTATGTTCAAGGCCGAATCTTCAGGGCCCTGATCGGTATGCTTGAAGTGTTTGTCTTGAGCATAGAGTGGCCGTTAGTTCCACTTACGAGATATAACCTCGCCGGGAGGCCAACATGAATGTTTGCCTTGCGATAACATGGGATATGCACTGTTGGCTAGGCATGCATCTGAGGCTGACGACACAATGAAGCTGTGCAGCTGAGATGTCCGTCTATTGTTCTGCGCCATACGGCACGTTGGTCGCCATGTTTTTTAGTCGCTATGGATTGCTGTCAGTGCCTTGTATGCTCAGTCTACTTGAACTAAAAATCATGCGATTGTCGGGTAGCTGGCCATTTTAGTATGATTTTATCTGACGTTTGCACCGTATATTTTTTGTCATTGTCATTTTTGACCGCGTCATTTTCCAGCTGTTCGTCCTACACAGATGGGCTACCTCAAATATACCTACTGGTCCCTAATGTTTGCAATCTCGTGTAACAGAACCATCCACGATGTGTCAGCTTTCACTGGCTGAGCGACTGGTCGGGGCCACGCAGCCGGCCTTCATTGCAACAGAGCCCGTCTGCTTCAGTCTCGCAGCGTGGATCGCACGCGCCGCTCGCGCATTCGTGAGGCCAACTACTACTTCTTCATCGAGTCGTGCGTCGCGCTGCTCGTGTCCTTCATCATCAACGTCTTCGTCGTGGCCGTGTTCGCCAAGGGCCTGTCCGGCAAGACCAACAGTGATGTCAACCAGACCTGCGAGTCTGCTGGAAATGCCGTCAGCTCGCTCTACCCGGGCCTCTTTCCGGTGAGCCTGTGCGCACCGGAAGCGCGTCGTATTTGTGAGCATGTGGACACTGACAGCGCGCCGGTTTAGGTGACGATTTAGGCGGTGAGCAGAGCCGTATGCAAGATTTTGCAATAATGCTCCATTAAAAATAGGTTCTAGCGCGTTGCATGGACGCAAAAGTTTTGGGATAGGTGTGAGACCCTGGGATATTTTAAATCTACTTGTTTTTACTGGTGTACCCTGATAGTTTAGTTCCCGACATGTCTTCTAATGCATATTCTTACATAAAAGGATGTAATAAAGGGACCGGGAAACTTGCCCCGGTGCCCCCTCCCCTCCCCCGCCTTGAATACGCCGCTGCTTTCGGGCCCCAAGGGGGCCGCGTCGTTTCAATGTGCCGTGCTGTCGTGAATCCCCAGTATGCAAGTAGCCCGGCTCGTCGCCTCAGTGCGGCCATTCTCATGGCTCGAAAGTGTTTTATTATTGCTGTTAGAAGATAAACTTTTTCCGACGACATTCAGAGAGCTTGCGCAATTTTGTGCATGTGCGAACTGTAGCCATCTCGCTTCTTTGAAAAAAAACGACATTCGAAATAATAGGTTATCCGCTGAGTTCCTTCTTGGGTGTTTTTGTGCCACCATCATCAGCGTGAACACATGGAGTTACTTTGGATAGGTGAGGTAAAGTCCGTTGCTAAGGACACACCCATTTCAACACGATATCGATGTGTGTAAAATGCAGTAGGGTCTAATGTGCACTATCATGAAGCGACTAGGCAGCCTCTACGCGATTGGAGTCCGTAGGCCGCTTTACGATAGTCCATCATTGTGACTTGGAAATAGCTGCCATTTTTGGTCAACAGTCCCTCGTAACTTAACAAGTCCGGCGTAAAAGTAGTCCCACTCTAATTTTGAATTTCTCGAGGGTTCTTTTTGAGCTTCCACTTTTGAAATGGCGCGTTACAGCGGCAAAACTGCCCCCCGCCCCCCAATATCGGAAAACCAGCATGTACCCTGTCCGGCTGCTCGGAAGGAAGCGAGGTAAATGTCTCGTTTCTCCTCCCCCCCCCCCTCCCCCAACGTTTTTAGTGGCCATGCCGTCCCCATGCACTGCAGGCTATCCCAAATACATTCCATGCGAGTGTGTCGTCCTTCGGCGCAATTCGCTTTTAAGCATTCAGTGGCGTAGGGTCTTCGTTCGAGTTTGCCGTTCCCATCAGAGATGACTCACTTGATGACACAGATGACTCACTGTAATCGCGTAGCAGCGGCAGTGTTTCGTCTATCTGGATTGCCTGGATATCTCAGGTCTGGTGGTCCCTAGGTCCCGGTCCCTTCGGTGCTAGGTCACGATAAACTTCACCGCTTCAAGTGTGTCACATCCAACAGCCACGTGCTTGTGCCTGTGGTCCATAAATACATGCTTGATGCCACATTAATCTAGTGATACCCAGCACCTCAGTGTGAACGTTTACGTGCTGTGTGAATGTGACCCGCTGCTCCACAGTTTTCTTCTGCGTATTGAGGATGCCTTGTCATGGTTAGAAAATCCGGTACGACCCCGTGGAGCCCTTCGGTGACGACTCCAGATGATGGCAATAATGCGCGGCAATGTTTCCCCTGCTTGGGGAATGGCAGTTCGCGCCGTGCAGGTTGTGTTTCACAGACTCCGTCGCACCGGTCCTGCCCTGCCCGCGGGAGAGTGCGGGAGGCCAGGCCATGCCCTAACCCACGCGCCCGTCGCCACAGAACGACACGAACTTGGTGGAGGCCGACCTATTCAAGGGCGGCGTCTTCCTCGGCTGCCAGTTCGGCGCCGTGTGCCTCTATATCTGGGCCATCGGTATCCTGGCCGCCGGCCAGAGCAGCACCATGACCGGCACCTACTCCGGACAGTTCGTCATGGAGGTCAGCAGTGGTCAGACTCCGGACAGTCCGTGTTGGATAAACACAGGATGCGTAGATGCGTAGTCCGCTATCTTCACCCAACTTTGGGCTGCTCTCGTGATCATTAAGGGGGACGCGATACAGGCAGCTCTCTGAAGTTGTTTGCGGAGATATCGCCGTAGATATACAGGGGCCGTGGCACCAGTAAGGCAGTTGGGATGTTCGCAGCGGTTCCACTGCAGACGGTTCGTAATGAAGATGATGAGGTTGTATTTCAGACAGTTGTGTTGAGCTCAGTACGTAGTGGGGTGCACCGGGGATTTACTAAGACAGGCCGCCATGGAAGTATAAACGCAAGGGGCGCATCGCATGAACGACATTTTGGCGTGGATTTATGTGTTGCGCGCAGTATAGACGTGCGCCATGTACATGCATAATGTTCGTATTATAGATAATTGTTATGGAGGTACGTTTGGGTCGCATTACGATCATGGCACCATGCATCTATGCCAGGTCTATTACAGACGCCTTTCACAGAGTTACGCGGTGATCTTGTTGCGCAGTGTTCCGTCAAAGCGGTTGGAATGTAAAGCAAACATGCGACACAACCAAAAAGCCGAACACCATGTCTTTCCATAGGTGTATTTTCTTTTAAAATCTGTCGAGCTTTTTATCGAACTTTCCCGTCTTGCCACAATTTCTCAAGTGCTTTACTTGTCACGGTTTGCTACGAAGATGACGCTGATTTCATTACAGTGTCCCAGTGTCCCATTTCACAACGCTTAGTGGCTAAAATATCAGGTAAATTCACACTCTCTTGGCCCTCTCGCATAATGCTCTAATTGGTCGGCTACCATGCGCATATTCGGCTGTGAATGTTCTGCCGGCATCATGCCCCTGGGCGGGCCCAGAGCGTGACGAGGACGGCACCGGCGGGAAACCACTGGCCGCCGCTGTGGCGGCGTCATGTGCTGGACAACGGCGTAATCTGCGCGGCGCCCCCCCCCCCCTCCCCCCCCCCCACTTGCCCCTCCCCGGCGCGCCGACAGAGGCAGGCACCTGCTGGCACGGGCACTCGTTGTTCACCGCGGGCACGTGGCGTCCGGCCGGTCATGCTTGCTCAGCACGTTCACAATGGAAGGGTGACTGAGCAGCTGTCACGTGACGACCGCCTGCGCAGGCTGATGGGGAGGGCGTGATGTCGAGTGGTAGGTGGTATTCGACTTACGTGTGGAGAATAAACAGATCGTAGTGCATGGATTCCTTTAGAAGTCGCTGGAGGTGACCCCGGGCTTGCCTGGCAGGGCTTCCTGAACCTGACGTGGCCGAAGTGGAAGCGAGTCCTGGTCACCCGTACCATCGCCATTCTTCCAACATTTTTCATAGCTGTCTACAAGGTACGAAAAACCAAGCTTTCCAGAGGCGTAAGAATGGTGTTTCGCTTTCGCTAAACCCGGCGCTCCACTCGATGCTGTCGTACGCGTGCGTTGCATAATAACACTAAGACTTTGCTGAGCAATGGATGGCAAATTGTCGCCACATAGTGGCTAGATATTGATTTTGTTGTAGTGTTGTCTTTTCTATGTATTCGTATTGAGCGCGCACAGAATAAGCAACGAGCGCCAATCGAAATCTTTGGATGAGCCTTTGGTGCCACCAAATGAATGTGGCAATGTGGCCCAATGTTTTTAACCTTTTCAAACAGTGTTATGCAGCTTTCTAACTAATGCACAGCTATAAACAAACCCCTGAATAATCGTATGTATGCAAGCATTGTCGCTGATTGGTCTTATTTTCTCCTGTTTGGAGGATATCACTGACGTAATAAACTATTATGGTGAAAATTGTTGGCCTTCAGCATACCAGGAGACACCAGCGAAACGCCAGTACCAAGCAATCAAAAGAATCTATCATGAGAGTGCTCGATGCTTCAAGACAGTCCAAATGGCAAGACAAGCCAGTCACTGCCTTGAAACGTTGAATATCGCCCTAATATACTTAAGTGACTGCAAGTTGTCGTTCACCTAGTACCTATTGGCATGTTGGAGGTCCCTTATTTTCACCATGTGTCGTCGCTCCGACAGGACATCACGGACCTGACGGGCATGAACGACCTGCTGAACGCGCTGATGAGCCTGCAGCTGCCGTTCGCCCTGCTGCCCACGCTGACCTTCACCAGCTCGGAGCAGGTCATGGGGGAGTTCCGGAACGGCCCGTGAGTTGGAGCGCCACCCACCACGGGAACGCGGATGGGTCTGGGCGTCCCCACCTGCAGACTTGCATCGTGATCCTGCGGAATGTTTGCCGATGCGACGTACGTACCGATGATTTAAAACTGGTGTGCGTTTTTATTTCCACACTGTATTGCTGTCTCCAAAGGAGTGCCAGTGCTGAAATTACCATGAGCGTAGCTCGGTGCATGCGAAGTGATGGCGAGTGAGAGTCCAGTGATTAACATCCATCGGCCACGCGGTGTCGTCTGATTCGTGTCGTCTGTTTCGTGCTGTCTGGACCATGAATGCTCGCCGATCACCGCTCCCCTGCTCAGCACCACGCCGCTGTCATGAGCATTTCAGGTGCGCGCTAGGCTTTCCATTTCATTTTTGCTGCTAGTGGGCAATCCGCGCGGCTAGGCTACGGTGCTGGGGCAGGGCACGCGCCATACGTGTAGCTAGACAATCTAACGGCAAACATCAGGATGCGTCGGCAAATATTCTAGGTTCCTCCGCATTCCTGCTCGCCAGCGTATGATATCGGGATTTACCTATGAAATTGCATGTCGCGGCCAATTCCCATGGTCTTACCGTCCAACGTGTGGCCTGCCTTGTGGTTTGTGTGGATTTACCTGTGAAACTGCTTGTCACCTACCAATTCTCATTTTTTATCGTTCACATCGTGGCTTGTCCACATTACGCGGTATTATCCATTGATAACGTTGAAGTAGCTTTTCTGAACTTGTTTTTCGCTTTTTTGCGGCATTTCACTTGTTAAGTTAATCCCGAGCCAACACTTCGCCATGACTGTAAAAAGCGACACGTGTGGTCTTCGCTTGCCTGTGTCCATGGCAGCCGGCCTTCTTTGTTACTGCTGCGTATTTGCTCAGTGAAACTGAAGCATTCCACGCTCTTCGCTTTAGATAAGTATACCAGCAGCAGTGGGGCCGCTCTTCGCCGTGCCAGGCTCGGTCCACGAGACTCGAAGCTGCGCGTTTGCCGCTGAACGGCGGCGCTGACGACGCCCACGCACTGACAGGAGGCGTCCCTCGCCTGCCCTGACCCGCGTGCCACGCCGACAGGGTCATGAAGGTGCTGGCTAGCATCCTGTCGGTGGTGGTGGTCGGCATCAACGTCTACTTCGTGGTCGACTACGTGAAGAGCACGCTGCCGGCCGTGTGGTGGGTGGACCTGCTGCTGGCGCTATACGGCTTGTTCTACATCGGCTTCATCGGCTACCTCACGGCGCTGCTGTACGGCGTGTTTGGCGGCCCGGGCTTCGACCGCATCAGGGTGAGCAGGTGGACAAAGCGGCGCCGTCTTCAGGTAGCTGGCGAGACCCGACTGATGGGGAGACCGGTCTTCAGAGGGGCTCGTGGCAGGGCGCCCAACGCCAGCTAACCCGTCAAGGAGTTTTACCTGGTGCACCAGCTAAACCTCCTTTACCACCAGCTAAAACTCCGACAGCCATCCGCTAATCGTATGAGATTAGCGGATGGCTGCATGTTGTCAATATTTCAACGAATCGAATCAACCTGCACGTGTTTCTCATATCTCTTTCTCACGAAATTCAATTCTCACTGCACCAGGTGTCCATTTGTATGTTTCGTTGAACCTGTTTTACGACCGCTTCTCGAAATCATTCGTAACCACAGTGTTGGGTCCGTCTGCAATTATTTTATGATCTCTACGATGTTCTATTACCTGTATCATGTTGGTTTTTGGAGGTGTTTTTAATGGCATGGGATGACGTAGTTACCGGGGAAACAATTTTGATACCCGTTAACTTGTTTTTAATCTAATGACAATAAAACCTCATTATTCCTGCTGGTGTGCATTCCATTGTATCCTGCTTATTGTACTCTGGAGCTATGCGTTTGGCCCGTTCCCTGCTTTCACCGCTTTTCATGTCACCATGCAGCGAGTAGTACGCTTTTCAGTGGGGCGTAGCAGTCGCTTTGTCGTTTTGGTACGTTTAGTAATCGGAGACAGGTTTCCGTGGCTACGTGAGTGTACACCAGACAAGCTCTGTGGGGCCTAGCGGACAGCTGATGGGATTATGGACCGTGCCGTGTCGGTGAATGTACTCCCAGTGCCCCGTCACGAGGCTGGTCTCACGAGGCTGGTCTTCTGAGAATTTGTCCCGTGGCACTGTCCCATGCCACGCAGCTGGCAGGTAGTCTGTGTTGTACGCGATGACAGCGTGTAGCCAGTGCAGAGATCACGGGCGTCATCATCGCAGTTCGCCTGGCCTGTCTGACTCAGGTGGCGCCTACTTCGCCCTTGATCACCATAGCCTGATCTGGCTCAGGCAGCTCCGACCTCGCCCTCAATCACTACTCGAGCCGTCCTGAGAGGCTGCGGCACTCGGAGCGCGTGCCGACCTCGGCGAGCGACTCACGACGACTTTATCATGACTGCACTCCTACGAGCCTGTTAGCACATTTCCTGTATTTGGTCAGGAAGGGTGCGGCGTGGGCGAGTCCAGGTATCCAGTGACCCGTCCTCTAATTTAGTTAGTCTTTGGGCTGTTGATCGGAACGTAAGAGCATTATAATAAATGATGAGAAAATTCGCTTTGAAACCCTGAGGACCACCTGGAAAAGCTACTAAAATTGTACAAATGTAGTGGCAGCCTCAATCGGTACATAACCAATATCTGATCCCCAGGACACTCACGTGAAATAACCTGGCACTTATTTAAAAACATACAAGTGCTGGCGGAATTGGCACTGAATGCATCTGCAGCACATATCTAAACTTATTAAGTATTCTACCGTCCTGATTGTTTGTAAGTTCCCATAGCGGTGTGTTTCAAGTGGGATTAGATGCATTATCTACCGTACAATTACCACTACGTTTATCCACTGTCACTTCTTGATTCGGCCAATGTGCTTTATATGCAAATTCGTCGTGCAAAAGAAGCATAGTTTAAACGTCAGGGTGAGCTAAGGGACGACACCACCGCACTGGGCCCCCGCCCCGTTTAAGAAATCGCGGTTGCACGCCTGGTGGTCAACGCACGTTGTCAGCTTCTAATAATCGACGACAAGAACCGCGCCAGATGCGATCATCGTACCCTGTCCGTGTTGTTTCGACTTGTACTGTCCTTTGTGACTCGGCTCGTGGACGCGTGAGTACCTCGAGCCCGCCAGTGACTGGGCTGTGCCTGTCGTGCTCGCTTGTAACAGGCTGTGAGCAGGGGCTGGCTCGGGTACGAAGAGATTGCCAGCAGCTAGAGCTGACGGCCCGTAGCGGACGCCGTGGCTAGCGCTGCGTGAGTGCTCCACGTCGCCTGCTTGCTGATTTCGCAACTGGGGCTCGGGCGCGGGTACTGCACGATACCGCCTGCTCGCTGCCGCTGCTGCGGTGACTGTCCGATGGCGTGGGTGCTTCGCGGTTTGGGCTTAACTGGCTGACGTTGTTTCGCGGTTTTGGCCGCTTCGGTTGTGGTGATGCGTGTTTAACCGGCATGCATAATGATGGGAGAGCATGGCAGCGATTCAAATTATGTGCGCGTCTGTGACCATGGATGATATGAGTGCGCGTGTTTTGACGTGCAGGGCGCAAGGAGTGTTCGCCGCCGCTAGTGCAGGTGTCCCGTCAGTGTTAAGTGCGCCGACCTGTTGCTAGCGCGCACGGCTCTTTGCATGGGCAGCCTTCGCCCGCCCTCGTCGCTACAGATAGTTTCCAGTCCCCACTCGTAGCTCGGAGAGCATCACGTCCCGCGGCTCGAGGCACACTCCCCGTTCCCCAACAAACGCTCGTCCTCTCTCGCAGACACTGGTCGTGTATAACGACTCGTCCAAACGACACGACTGGGACGACCCAGTGGATGAGCCGGCGGCGGCGAGCGCGCCCGGAGCCAGCAGCTGGCCTGACGCGCAGTAGCCGACAACCGCGCCCGCTGGCTGCCGACGTGGCCGGCGTCGGTGCCGAGACGGGGCCGAGCCGGTCGGCAGGGGCCCGGCAGACCCGGCACGTCCGGTCGTCAGACCTCCGTCGGCCGCCGGGGCCGGCCGCCGTCGCCGCGGCCGCCGGCGCCCCGACGCTCGGCGTTCCCAGCTAGTCCTCGTCAACAGATCTGCAGCAGTGAGCGCCGCCAGAAGCGGCCGGCTCGTGCAATTGTGACGGCGCGGGCGGCGTCGGTGAGGGCGCCGGCGCCGCCCCGCCCACCGAGAGACGGCTGTGACGGCCGGCCGCGTCCGGACTGGGCGGTCGGCCGACTTCGCACCGGGGCGGGTCTCGACACCCCCTTATTCCGCGTGAAGCATGTCTGCGCTGGCGCAGTGCGCAGAACGCATGGACGCTCTCGCGGCATGCTGTCACATTCAGCCGTGGTAAGCGAAGGCGAAATTGCTGGCCCAATGCGATCGGCTGCTGTCTTTGCTCCCTGAGGTGAGCGTGATCAGCGTTGGCTGTGTGGATGTCCATAGGCAAGCTCGGGTCGCCTCCGCGCTCGTGATCTGACCGGTCGTGTCTGATAAATTGGTGCCTTTGGGGATCAACGTATGACAGAGTGTTACAATGAAGTGTTGTACGTCACGTCAAGCTCCCATTGTAATGTTGGTTTTGATAAGGACTTGCTTACTGTTTTAGTCGCATTTACGTGACTCTGGGGAAGAAATACAACTGGTGCAGACAGATTATATAACATGTGATAGATGCGTGTGCATAGTTGGTCCGAATACGCAATCAGTTACTTTCGACATCCCATTTAAGACTTGAAAATAATATTGCCCCCGCGGGCCAAGGTTTTGTTGTGTTTCTCAAACCGTACAGGTGCAGGAAATGTGCTGGTTAAGGCTCAAGGTTTTATGTGCGTTTACGTACTCTGGGGAGAAATACATCTGGTGCCGATCGATTGTATAACATGTGATAGACGTGTACTGTGTCTTTGGTCCGAATACACAATCAAGTTACTTTGGCGCATACCCATGGAAATTGAATGCAATGCAGCCCTGCGGGTCCCTTAAAAACCGCACAGGTCGGCAGGCGTCCCGGCTGAGGCTCGATGGCAGTGACCCTCCTTTCATCCCTGAGGGAGCAATAAACCAGCGACGGAATGTTTTGACTCGAGTCGCCAATCAGCGCTTGTGACATCTGTCGGTTTGACGCTCACGGTGCCTGTACTGGAGGGCAGGGCGGGGTGGTAGCTCCACACTCGTAAGCCCTCGCCACTTTACAACTCATTAGCTCATGAGCTACCCGTCTGGACTGACTGTCCCATTGGCTCACTCCAAGGTAACTGTCATGCGGCGTGCTTATGAGATCGACCAGTTACATAGCACCGCATCCCTCATGTTTGAACGACAATGTGTACAACAGGAGATCGCAAGCGAACTATCCATTTCGTAAAATTTCAACACATGCAGATGAACGGTCTACGGGTTTGAGCCTCAGGCATTTTGGAAGGTCGCACGGCAAAGATGTCTTTGGTGGCGTATTACTCAGTGCATACACGTGTTAAATGCATGAAATGTCGGCTTTTAAACTGGTACTCGTCGGAGAACACGGTCTAGTTTCGACGTAAACTTTTACGACGTAAATTTCCACTAAGCGACTTGGTGACCCAACGCTACGTGACACAAAATGAATCCAATCCAAGATCCATCGAAGCGACAACTTTGACCATCAAAATTTCTCATCGCATCCCTTAAATATGGTGAAGAAATAACCTTGAGCTCCAACAGAACTGGCCTGTTTGTTGTCAATGGAAAGACGTGGGTAAGTAGATCGCAGTGACGATCAGAGGAACTCTTGTAAGCACGGCTGACGGTTGACGGTAAGCACAGTTGATGGTCCTTTGGGTGGGCCACTGGGCCATGCAATGTTTAATTTGGCAATCAAGCATTTAACGTCACCATCAACATGTAAGAGCCCAGATACATTCAAGACCATAAATGTGTTTAGTATAGAAGGTGCAGGGGTTGTGCGGAATAAGGCAAGGAGCGCGGCCGAAAGGGGGGCGGGCACCCCCGATCCTAGGGTATGCGCGGGCACCCAGTGCACCCGTCTTGCTGCGGACCTGATGGATGACATCACCAGATGTGCTTAAAGTATTGCAGCCAGGCGCTGGAGATTGAACAGAATTTTTGTGGTCACTGTGTGGCTGCTTGAGCAATGCAGATGGAATTCACCGAGTGCTGGGGCTGATGGGCTCAGCATTGAGCACCACGGCTCCCCTCCTTTGCACCAAGCAGTCCAGTTTTCACTGCTGACTCGCTAGAAAACCGCCTTTATCAACTTCTGAACAATTTTGTATTTTTTAACCCATGAGCCATGACATATGACGTTCATGACTCACACGCCGAACACTTGATTGTCTACGGTATCAATTATGACTCGTCATTGCGTGCAATTTGTATATTGATCTGAGTACGTACAGCCGTTATTTCAGCGCGTCAGCAGCAACTTAATTATCATTTTGGACGTTGATGACCCGTGAGTCAAAACGCTCACGAGCCACATGTTCCATGCCTGTTTTGCTTCAACATATTAATTAGTCGCGTGTAGTAGAATGCGCTTTATGTCAGTTGAATTTACATGCATTATTATTGCTTGAACAGCTGATAATAATAAAGTACACGCAGTGATCACTGGGTAACGACACACGAACTCTGCGCATTTCTTGTTCACTTGGCTGCGGTAAACGGGGTGATCTTTGTAAATCGACTCATCGTAAACTGGTGTACTATCAAACGTGGTCAGGGTTAGTAAAGGTGGATTTTCAGCGTCTCAGCAGCCAGAAATGGTCAGTGTTGTTTTGTGTCGAGCCCTGGTACACAATGGTCATAATCTACATATCCCATACTTGTTTGCTTCCGGTAAGTTGACTCTCCGCGTTGGATGGTCAGCTTCTTGTTGGAATTAGACTCTAAGAAGCTTGTATCTGGTGTGCCAGCACCCAAAAGCATGAATTTTCACCTTCACGTAAGTTAAGTGAATTTGCGAGGAACGTTATGCACGTAGATAAGGCAGTAGCAATAGCCTTATTCCTGGTACAAAGAACAGGAGAATGAAGAGAGAGAGAGAGAGAGAGAGAGAGAGAGAGAGAGAGAGAGAGAGAGAGAGAGAGAGAGAGAGAGAGAGAGAGAGAGATATATATATATATATATATATATATATATATATATATATATATATATATACATATATGTGTGTTGATATTTCGTCAACATGCCTTTAGGGAAACAAATAGCAGAAGTAAATGCCAGGAATAAGACTCACGCAACTGGCTCACACAATCCTGGCTAGCTTCCCTCCAATAAACGACCACAGTGCGTTCATTGGTGTACTTTGCATTGTCATATGTGTAAGCAAAATTGCTGGCGTTTCAACAGCCCAGGGACAACAATTTTGAACTTCATTGACCCCTGGGGCACGTGCGTAAGATCTACATTCAAGATGCTTGTTTGCTTTCTGTAACTGGAATACGAAACATCATGTTCTTTTCAGAGCTTGTGGCACGAAAAACGGTTTTGAAAGTGTTTTTGAAGAAAAAAATTGCAGGAGTACGTTGCCTGAAGGAGGACACCCGATCCCCTCTCGCTATCACCAATGAATCCCCTTCAAAATAGGCAGTGCAGGGAGGGTTATAATCAGGGTCGCTTTAGGTACGGAAGTGTGTGTGTGTTGTGTGTGTGTGTGTGTGTGTGCGCGCGCGCACGCGCGCGCGCGCGCGAGTACCGAGTATAGCGCGCGAGTAGTAGTATCTAGACCGAACGGTAGATGGCAGAGCGTCTCGCGGAGGACAGAAACACAGTCTAGTTCCGACGGCCTTGGTTCCGACCGCCGACTCGTGTACACCTTCCCGGAGACAGACTCGAATATGGCACAGCCGACAGGATCAGTGGGAATCGATCCCGCCTCCGTTCCCCTGCCGGACGACATGGACGACCCTGTGACTAGTGCCGTGCCCCGGGGAACGCGACTCGTGCCAGACTCGATGACAAAAGACGCCAAACCGGAACGATTGGATCTGACCAGTGACCGCGAGCGACGTACAGCAGATGGCGACAGAGATGGGATGACCACGCGATGTTGTCGGACTTGAGTAGCAGGCCGCCAGCCCTGCAGCTGGCGATTCTCCGGTCGTGCCTCTCGGACGAGATCCTGATTGTCTCGGCCAGCTTCGACATCCCTGCTTCCCAGCGATCGGACCTCTCCGTCGTCCTCTCGCACCTGGACGGCTACGCTCGCGGCCAGGTCAATGAGGTCATTCAGAGGCACACATTTAATATGTGCACCCAGCAGGGGGACGAGTCATTTAATGACCTCTTCACCCGCCTCCGTGACCTCAGCCGTGAGTGCGGATTTTGCGATGTCTGTCGTGACAGCCTGATCAGGGACCGTATAGTCGTGGGCCTGCGCGACCCGGCGACTGTGCCGTCCCACTCCTGTCATTGCAGCAGGCGATCCAGATCTGCCGCTCCGAGGAGGCTGCGGCGCGTGACGTCACGGAGATCATAGGCGGCGAGGCCGACGCCGTGTCAGCGTGCCGCACCTCGCCCGGTCGACCGGCGCGCCGGCCGCCCTTCGGACCCCCAAGACTCCGCACGGTGTCAACTTCCAATCGCAGAGCCCCACCCCTCCCCGCCGAGCGTCGGGTGGGGGCGCCCCCGAGCGAGAAATGGACTCCGCGCGCCCGGTCTGCAGAAACTGCGGCACCCGTCATGCACGATCTGACTGCTGCATGGCTGCGGGTCGGGCGTGCTACAACTGGGGCAGAACGGGTCACATCTCCAGGATGTGCCGCAGCGCGCGCCAGTCACATGAGACATCTGCCTCTGCGGTTACGCTCGCGACCGCATCAACGGGATCCGCACCGA